TATGTAAACTCTAAGTCCTCACATGTATTTTTTAGGGGTATCATGAAGGAACCGGTTTTTGTCTCGGGCACCTGGGCAGATTCCTGGGCATGTGGAACTGTCTGCAAGGTAAAAGGAAGCAGGTCATAAAATTCACATAGCAAATAGTGGCATTAAAAAGATGGGAAAAATCTTCATGGCATTTAATTTTTTAGTCTAGATCCTGCTTATGGCCCTCAGTGGAAAGCTGTTTTTCATCTGCATTGGACTCTTAGAGATGGTGGAGTGAAAGGAATCTGTATTTAATTAATGGGAAGGCAGAGCAAGCTTTGTTGCACTTAAAGACTATTAGGATCTTACCCTAATATACATTAATTTACAGTTAACACTTGTGTAAGAACACTTATTATTTTGGAGAAGAATTAAGAAAAATAATACATCAGTCCAAGCTTCAGCAGGTGACAATTTTGGGGGTGTAAAGTTCACATTGTGAAGAAAGAAGATGAGATTAATATGATTTATTTATTAATTTGTCTTAGTATCTACCTCAGCTTAACAATACCACTGTGATAAATAAAAGCAAGCTTAAGGCAGAGCAAGGAGGAAATAAAACAATGCCAGGGATAAGATCTCAACAAGGAAAAATACTAAGAGACTATAACGGAGAAGATATTAACTGGAAAGCCAAGCCTGCACCCTGCACTGTGAGCTTGAGAGGAAGTGCGTGTGCAGGTCTGTATCCAAATGAAACTTGTCCTTCAGCTGTTGTAGGCTGGGGACACCAGGCTTGAGGCAAAAGGCTTTCAGTGAAAAGGAAGTACTGCCCAAACTAGCAAAGACAGTTGGGGATCTTTCTGCACAGAGAAAGAAGACGTGCAGCAAGGCAAATTATGAGATGCAGTTTGTGTAGACATGCAAAGAAAGAGGCTATACTCCAAAAATCTAGACCAGGTTCAAATAATTGTTCTGCTATATTGAGATGAGCAAGCAGGGAATTGCACCACATCAGACCGGTTTGACCGAAAGCTTGTGAGTGAGAAGTAGTAGGTGGGGGAAACAGTAGCCAGTGGTATCAGAGGAGAAAGATGTTGAAAGGAACTGCGTTAGTGAGCTGGTGGAACATATTAGGTGGCCCTATTTCTGGGAGATTGTTCTAAACCAAACCTCCACTTGGTAAAAACCCTTCTTGCTTAAGCTGGAAGATTTGCTATTCCAAGTGGCTGAAACTGAAACAGAAGCAGCTTGATGATTGGAAAAAGCCATCAAAATTAATATTAAGACCAAGAGGTAAAAGGTAGATGAAAATGCAGTATAGTCGTAATTATATGATGGAGGAAGGATGGATAGAGAGTACCCTTGGTAATCTGGTGACACAAATACCAGACAAATGCTGCTAATTTGAAAATGTGATTCTTGAACCATCCAAGGGCAGCATAATACCCAGCTTCCTGAAGATTACCTTTCAGTCCAGGATGTACAAGTGGCTCAAGTCTCCATCCACTAGCTTTTGTTAAAGCCAGAAGCACTGACTGTAGAGAAGACAATTTTGGTCATGCTGAATGTAGATGGTTTCATTGTCTACCTCTCTGGCTAAGGCTTTAGTTTTATAGATATAACAACAGAAACAGGCAAGTAAATTGGCCAGTTCCCAGCACACAACAAAGGGCAGCCAGCTCCAATACATTTTGTTAATGCAGGGCAATGACACAGTGGGTATCTCTGAGGGTGCTGGTGCTGAGGAAAGGTGAGGCTGTAATGTTCTGCCTATCTGTAGAAAGTGCAGGGCTTCCAGAGTTGCCAATGGTAGAAGAAACAAGACACTGACAGACTTGCAACTGGGACAAATGCATGCATCTTTCTATGTCTAATCTTACTCAGGTGCAAAGATTTACTTTCAGGCAGGTTTCAAGCAGTATTCCACTCTTCACAAAGGCTTTCTGAATTCCTGTTTTCATCTTGGGTTCACAAAATGTCTAGCTAGCTCCTCTATCTCAGAAGGGATATAGAAATTACCATGGTTTCTATTAGTGTATTTCCATCCAGTCACAGAAGTGGCATGTAGTTCAAGTTGAAAAGTGCTCAAAACCTTTAAAGATTTTGATCTGGTAGAGCGAAGTAGTTAGTATGATGGTAATGTGGATAGCCGTAATTCTACCACAATGGTGATTCCAGTAAAAGTACTGCAATTATGCTCTGTCCCTGACATTTTCCTACTAGACAAAGAAAACAATAGAAGCATGATAATTCATGATATGCTTTTCATCCATTTGCATCCTTGTTTGTTCTTTTTTAGTGCACCACAGAAATAAGGAATGCAAACGACTCATTAGATGATGTCCTGATTTTTACACATAGCTTCTGGTGATGTAAGAATTTTCCTTCTAATTTAACCATAGTCCAATCTACAGCTGAGACACTGAACAAAGCTGAAAACCAGATTTAAAGAGTAATTTCTGCATTTCAGTATGCATACAAATTGAGTTAAAGAAGAAACACATTCAAAGAAATGTTTTGACTAATCTTTTTCAAAGATGTTCCCAAACTGCCTTTTTACGACACCCAGAAATCACATATGATTTGAAAGCCAGCTGGCCCTAGATGTACTGTCACTGTGATCACATGCAACAGCACATTAGGGATCTAGTTTGGGACATCTGCTTGTTGCTGGGTAAAATTTTGCTTACATCCTGTGCTTCAGGACCTGCTCCCACATGTACTTCTCAATGGAAGTCAAACCCCACCATCCTGAGACAATAGCCTAACATACTTTTCTCTTTTTAAATCAGCAATTGTGGCTTAAGCAGATATCTCCTTTCCCTCCTCCCATCCCTATTCCACTTTGTTCTCATGCCTGCACACATCTTCAGTTGTTTAAGTCTGCTGAGTTGTACTGGAGAATGACAAGTATCCTCATTAAAGAAATAGAGAAATAGTTGTTTTTTTTTTTTTTACTAGTTCAGTTCTGTTTTATTTCATGGCTATAGAGATAGTTGTGCTGGTCTAGAACCTGTCACTACATGTTACATATTTCCTACTATTTTCATGGTTTTGTTCAAATAATTTTTATATCTCTGATTTTAAAGATCCATTGAAAATCATGAACTCTTGCAAAAGTAACATTAGTGAAGAAGTCCTGAGCTACTGTGCTGACACTGATCTGAATATGAATCATGGGCTGGACCATAATTTTGTGCCATTTTTCTCAGCTTTAAAATGTGAAAAATATACATTCTCCAACTGGCAAATTGATAAAGACACTAGTGGTACAGAAATGTAAAGTGCTAAATAAATGCAAAAATCTGTTGGGTGTTGTGTGATTTTTTTCAGAAGAATGTCAACACTTTCTGACAAACTTCAGATGCAGGAGCTAAGGTAGTGACAGGCATTATTTACTGAAGGAACTTAAGAAGCAAGGTTGCACTTTTAATGCAACTGTGGCATAATTGCTTTAATGGACTCTTTAAGCACTAAATCCTGATTCTCTCAACAGAAGGCCCCAGTTTTGATTTTATGCATACCATGGATCCATACTTAGCGGTAAATTGTTATTGATTTGAAAGCCCTAAGTAAGTCTAATTAATAAGACCCAAATAAGATTTTTATGGAAGTATGTTTCAGACAGGTTATTTTAGCTGAGCTGCTGTGGTTTCTTGCAATGAACCTAGTACTTGTAATGAGTCAGTTCACTAATTTGATATCACAGGCTGTAATATTCCGTGTTTAGGTTTATTTGCACAAAATACTTATGTGCGGTCTTCAGGATTATGAGAATGACTTAAAAAGGCATCTCAATTTGATGCAACCATCCGAGCATGGCCTGTGAAGACAGAAGTACCAGTTTTCCAGTGAGCATGAACATGTATGATGTTACTGTGAATTGTAGCATGTACAAATGTGAACAGATATACCCCACATCTTAGGTGTTACTAAAATTAGAAGGTCTTTCTTTGGGAATGCTGAGAAGGTAGTTCCTCTGCCGGCAGTAGGAATGTAAATATACTCTCTACATGACTGTGGGAACACAACATTGTGCTGTTCAGTGATGTCTAGTATTCTGCTGGTAGGTCAGTATTCACAGTAGCAGTCAACAGCCACTGCAGGTAGTGGCTTTTGAATAAAAGGTCATGTTTTTCAATAGCCTTATTCTGACTGAAAGCCTGAAAGCTTCTTGGAACTTCTTGATCTCTGCAGTATAAAATCAGAATTAAATGAGAAACAGGAGTTCGACAGGTAGATACACAGTCCGCAAAAATCTCTTCAGGATGCCAATTCCCCAGTTCACTTAAGACCTGGGGAGAAACCCTAGCTCAGCAGAAGTTGGTGTGAGTTTTTCATTGACTTCAACAGATTCAAGATTTATCCTTGATATTCTAAGAATAAAATCTATGAAGTCCACCTCTCTCTAGGTGTTCTGAGTTTATTGTTACCATAATGGAAGTCAGCACTTCCCCCACAGTGCAGAGTAAAAAGCATTCCAGCTGGGTAAGAATTAGACCTTATAAATAGGGTTTTTCAGGCAGATGGAATCACAGTCCACCCAAACCAGGAGGTATTTATCACAGAAAACAGCTCTAATTCCATATTAGCATGTTTTGTAAACTCCAAATTCCAGATTTGTTTTATTCCTTTTAAGCCATTCTACATTCCCTATCTGGAACTCAGTACAGTGCAGGTGGGATTCATCTTACCTGGCTTTACATTATCACAGCATGAGTCCATACTGGTTACTTAGGCTGCCTTTTTCTCTATGAAGCACAGTAGGCACTTTCAGAGTGCAGTTCACCTGGTCTGTTTTAGATGCAGGAAGAGAATCAAATTATGCCAATAAAACTCTTGATCTGCCTTCAGAGGGATGGCAAATCCGTGGCAGAAATCAACTCTCCAAATGGTACTTTGGTAGAGTATCTAAGTCACGTCCTTATTCATTCTGCTCCTCCTGCTTGCACTTAGAGTTGTGCTGCTGGATAAAGCCAGGGTCACCAAGTACATCTCTATGAATAAAGATGGATGATCATTGGTTTGCTGATTGTTTTGGCGCAGCCTGGAACTTCATTTCCCTAGAAGAACATTCTAAAATGTAAATTAAAATGTACCTCAGTAAATTAAAATGTACAAACCTCAAGAATTTCAAATTATACAAAAAATACTCTTATATAGTCATGAAGGAATCTCAAAATAGAATTCTTTCAAACAGAAATGTTTTGAAAGTGAAATGCCTTGGTGTTAAAAATAGGTTTTAGCTACTGTTTTTTAAAATCCAGCTCTGTGCTTGCAGAGCTGATTGGAGCTTCAATTCTGCACATATCCACACAACACTATAATTAGGAATCAACCTATCCCTCTCATCTACAGGAACCAATCCTGTAGATGTCTAGATCATGTCACGGGACTCAAAAAGGACAGCAGGAACTTGTACAAAGTTTTTAATTACCATCACAGTAGTTAGGGTATTCAGTGGTGACTCAGATATGAGACCCTTCAGTTATAAGTAGTCATTTACAGATAGTAACTTCCAACATAGCTGAAAGAGGCTCACCTTAGAAACCCCAGTTTGCTAGTGCTTTACACTTCAGACGTGCTTTTAAAATCAATGTTCTGAATGACACTGCAACTTTCAAAACAGTCCTCAAGTTACTAGTAGAGTGCTCTAAGCATTTGGTTAGTGGCCAAACCAGAATATGCAACATAGGGGAGGGTATCTGTGTAACATTCCCATTTGAAAGGTACATGGCCTGGCAAAGGTTCCAAACTTCCAGGGAATGTTCACAGCTGACACTCTTGGCAAAAGAAGTCCTCTTCTTTCCGAGCAGCATTAAGTTCAGGCACAATGCTTCCTCCTAGCATGATCTGAGCAGCATTAAGTTCAGGCGCAGCGCCTCCTACTCCTCGGCATGTTCCTCCGAGCTGCCGGCATGGTTCCTGCTCAGTTCCCGTAAATATCTTACCTCTCCATGCATTTCCTTGAAGCGCTGGGCCTTGCAGGAACGGGGGGCGCCGGGCGGGCGTGGTTGCGGCGAAAATGACGCCGCCGTGTCCCGGCCATTGGCGGTGCGGGAGGTGTATCCCGCGGCCGGCTCGCGGTTGGCTGCCGCGCGGGGCGGTGGCGCCGCTGGACATCGGCCGGAGGAGGGGTCGGGACTGTCCGGCCGTGCCTCCCGCTGCCCCGCTGCCCGAGGTAGGTACGGCGCTGCCTGGCGCTCCCGGTGTCAGCGAGCGCTTCTCGGTGCCTGCCGCCCTCCCGCGACCGGTGCCGCCCGCTCACACCGCTTCTCCCGCTGCCCGAGTCCGCTCCCTTGCCTTTCCCTGCCGCTCTCCGTGGGATTTGTTTCCGTCCCACGCGTGGTCCCTGCTGGCGGGAGGCCCCTCGCTGTGCTACTCGGCGCTGGCTCAGCCCCAGTGATGCTCGGAGTGATGTGAAGCGCACCCGGCACGGGCGCTGCGGCCCCGCCGTCACCCGGCGTGCTGGGGAGGCCGGGGAGAGTTCCCCGGCGCTGCAGGCTTGGAATGCTGAAGTTACTTTCACTTTTACAACGGGATATGGGTATTTCTGTGGCTGAGCCTGAGCACACACGGGGAGGTATGCAGACGAGCTTCTGGCCTGCCAGAGGTCACCCGGCTGTTTGCTCACTGCCCCGACTCCCACTGTCTCAGGGCAGGGCAGTGCACTCCCGCTGAAAAGAGGCGCTTCTATTCTTGTGGGACGCCTCTGTGTGAGGGAAATTTGCTTCACTGCAAGTTTGGGTATGAGATGCAGTGTGTTGATTATAAGCTACTCTTATTGTTACATTTTAGTGTGCAGTTACAGTGACATGGCATGTCAAGGCTTCCTCGTTTTTGAGAGGTGTTGACATGCTCTTTGAGGATCCTCCTATTATGCTGAAAAGCAGTGTCACAAAATAACTCCAACTTCTGTACGGTAACCTCTGCTGGTAGACATATCTAGCAATCCTAGGAAGACCACACTTGGAGCTAATGTAGATGACTCTGTGCCTCTGTTCATGCCTTCCTTTGTGTGCCAGTTTTTCTGTTTCAGCAAGCCTGGAGTTAAATAGGACCTCTTAAGTCTTCAGGTGTATAGAGATTTTACAAATTTGAGGCATGAGGACGAACAGGACTTTCCAAGCAATTTGGATACAGAGATTAATGTAATTATCAGTTAAGATTGAGTTGGAAACAAAGTTCACATTTTTGAAACCTCTATCTTTGACATCCACATCTTTTAATTGCATAAGTATTTTAAGTCCTTAGGCTCCTAGATATTTGGTGCTGGACCTGAGCAGAGCCCCTGCTATTTACAGCAGAGCTAAGTGGTGGCACATATGTTTCACTGGTAGTGAAGAGGAGGAGACAGAAAATAAAAGGATATTCCTCTGCATGGGAATCCATCCTAATGAAGGTTTTCCATTTTGCATAAAATTTGTATTAGGGCTCCTGGGCACACATATGGTGACTGCTGAGCAATAGTTAAGGTCTTGATCTTGTCTTCCATTTTTGGCTCATGTAAGAATTAGTTATGTAAAAATACTTAGTGTTGGTCTTACATATTGGGTTTTCTCTTTTAATCAACTGCTTGCATTATAGCCTGTGTCCTGCTTTCTTTCTGTGTGGTTGTTACTTCTGACTGTTTGTGATACAAACCTTTGATAAGTATTTGACCTTTGCATGTTATGGTGGCATATTATGGTACCAATATAATTGGTAACTTTAAGTTTCCAGCATTCTTTTTAAGCCTTGTAATTAAAAACTTGATGAATTGAACACATTAAAAGCCTTCCTTTGCAGTAGTAAAAACAATTAGTGAAATTGAAAATTGGTCTGTAAGGACACCCCACCAGACCAAGATGCAACAAAGCACACTGAAAGTAAATTCATGTCTCACAAAAGTAGGGTGTAAATAGAGTATAAATTATCTGGTTTATGTTTTACAGCAGATGCTAAAGGAGACCAGAACTTTTGCACAAAAAGTATTTGAATCATACATGTACATGTATTATTTTATTACTTTGTCTTTGCTGTCATCAGGCTTTACCATGCTCCGAGCCTTTAGTCACACAAATGGTAGGTGCATGTTCCACCATACTAAGTGTTGGCATCATCGTAAGTCTGTGCTGGCAATCAGGAGGGAAGATGTTAATGCATGGGAAAGAAGAGCACCTCTAGCACCAAAACATGTTAAGGAGTTGACAAAGATGGGATATAAGGTCTTGGTGCAGCCGTCAAACCGGAGAGCCATCCATGAAAAGGTAAGGTCCCATTTTGAGAGAGATAAGGAAAATCATAGTTCAGTTATTAACCATAGTACAGGAAAAATAATACTCAGAGGCTATTAATGAGAAAACATATAAAGAAATAAAACATAAACATGTAAACGTTGTTGTTAAATGAGGAGTCATTATGTGCTAGTGGAAAGAAAAAGGAGTAGTTTGTTTAGCCTTTTAATATAATGTTGACAGAGTGGTGGGGTTTTGGAGTTGTTTTTATTGATTTCTTGTCCTGTCATCAGTCTCCATAGAAGTTCTAGTTGTTCTTGAAGTAGAAACTTGGGAATTCATTTAATATTGGTACTTTTGTCTTCTGTTTGTACGAAGGCAACAACTCTAAAAAACCTCATATTTTTTTAAAAGAACAAATTTGGTGAATCCTGTTCTTGCTTCAGTCCCATTCCTCATGTAAAATGAGAAGATAGGGTTTTTTTTCTTTAACACTATGAGCTTGAGGACAGAGAGCTTTTACAGTTCTTGTAGCAGCGGTAATACTCTGCTGTAAGATATCTGAGAAAACAAAAATTGAAACATAAGTAGGGAATTAGTGATCACTTGCACATATCACCTTTTAATTAAGGCACAGTGCTGGTTTTCACCAAAGCACAGATCATACTATGCAAAAATATTCCTTCAGAAGTTGCTCTTCAGCTTGGACTTAGCCTTATACAATTTTATAAAATCATGTGTCATCAGTCTTCAGATTAATTTTTCATATTTCTCTAAATTATTTCCAAGTATTTCAGCACATTATAAAAGACTCTTCATTATTGCAATGCTACAGGATACTTTAAATTTAGTAAAATATCATTTTCGTAGTATTTTTTACATTTAAGATGAAGGATTTTAATTACACATAATTATGTTTTGGCCTTGTATAATAGGATAATAGCATGGTATTTCAATTTGATACTTGATACCTCTTTATCAAAGAGATTTATGAGTATAGCACATGCAGTTACTTGTTTCTGCTTTGTAGAATTATCAACTTTTCCTCTGTTTTAGTTGCTGAGATCTGAATATGAAAAAGCACAGAAAAATTTACTTTGATTTTTCTCTTTCCTAGGAGTACATCAAAGCAGGTGCCATTATTCAAGAAGATATTTCTGAGGCTTCTCTGATAATAGGTGTGAAGAGACCTCCAGAGGAAAAATTAATCCCTAAAAAGAACTATGCCTTCTTCTCTCACACTATTAAAGCCCAAGAGGCAAACATGCCCCTTTTGGATGAGATTTTAAGACAGGTAAATTGTGCCATAGTAAAGACCCTTAACAGTTATTATGAGGTGGAAACTGAACCTGGTGCTTCAGTGTGATCAGGAGCTTGCTGCCTAGTCCACTTACTTTCAGGACGCGTATTCCAGTAGTACATTTGGCTAATGAAGACTGTTTTTAGTATCCTAAAAACAGGAGCTGAGTATTTCTTGCTCAGAGAATCTTGTGCTTGCAGTGTTACTCTGTTCATGCACATAAGGCAGGTGAGTTGTGAGCATGGTGTGCTCAAGAGAGGCTCTTTCTATCTGAGCACTAAGAGTTGTTGGAAAGTTACTAAGCTGGAGTGTGTATTGGTCATTACAGAGGAAGGCAGACAGTTCACTCAGAAAAGAGCAGTCCTTTGGCAGAGGATATGAATGGGCCTGCAGCATCTGGAGTGGCACATTGGCAAGCTCTGTGCCAGAGGGCACGGGCAGTGCAGAGACTCTTTAAAATAAGAATTCAACACAGCCATTATGTTTTTATTTTTATACTTAAATCTTGTTATGATTTAGTTGCCTTTCTTATATTACCCATCAACCTCTATCACGAAGGATGACAAAAGCATGTGAAAAGGTAGTTCCTGGGAGAGCAATGTGCCACTGACTGCATTCACTGAAAAATTTGATACTCAGTTTACTGTGTATTTTCAGGAAATTCGACTGTTTGACTATGAAAAAATGGTTGATCATAAAGGAATGCGAGTTGTGGCCTTTGGAAAGTGGGCCGGTGTAGCAGGTATAGTGCATAAAGTAAAGGCAGGCTTGCAACAAGTAACTTCTTGTAATACTTGTGGTTGTTCTGTGTTTCCTAAAAGTTGAGGCTTGCAGTGTGTTTTTAATTCTTGCTTTTAACAACTTTTTTCCACTCTGATTTGTTCCTCCTCCTTTCATGAGACTACATGTCAAATAGTCCTGTGGATTCCTGACAAATCTGATATTTTATGTTGTCTTGAAGTCCTGTTTGTCCATTGAACTAATTTGAAGCAGATGAAATACCAAGAGATCAACTTACTAGGTTTTTGGGAAAAAAAGGCTGCTGTCAGTCCTGAGAGCTTTAGCAGCATGTTTGTCACTCTGATATACATTTACACTTATTTTTGTGGGGCATGGTTCTCATTCCTTTCTACTGAACTTTAACTCTGTTTCTTCAGAAGACTCTTATCTCCTTCTTTGGAATCTGGTGATGTGGATGCATCTCATAAAAGTATATCTGAGTATTAAGTGGTGCTGAAATGCATAAGGTGGGCCAAGAGCAGGTTTAAGGTCATGGACTGCTACTGAATTTCTCCTTCTCTGGTTTTATTAGACTTTCTTTAGAAGTATAGTATTAAAACATGGGAAAAAGATCCAGGATGATTTTAGGCTTCAGTCAGTCTCTTCAGTTTCTAACTGCATATTCGTAAGTAACACTGATGGTCTGATTTTTATTTTTTTTTTTTTTAACAACAGGAATGATCAACATTCTACACGGACTGGGTTTACGATTTTTAGCCCTGGGACACCACACTCCCTTCATGGTAAGAGTACATGTGTATATTTTTGTCTTTAGCAAAATGACATTTGGGCATCTGCTAATTATCTGTATTTGAATGTGGAAAATATCTTGATGGTTCTGTGCCTTTGATTTCAGCACATTGGGATGGCACACAACTACAGGAATAGCAGTCAGGCTGTGCAGGCAGTACGGGATGCTGGATATGAAATATCACTGGGATTGATGCCAAAGTCAGTGGGGCCCTTAACATTTGTGTTTACAGGCACTGGTAATGTTTCTAAGGTAAGAATTGTCTTCAAAATGAAATGCTATATTATTGTTAATAGAAATCCTTGGCATTTGATAAGTGTCAGGTTAAATGGGCTGATGGGTTCATTTTGATTGCTCGGACTTCATATTTTCCTTTTCTAGCAAGAATTTTTAAGTAACATAGACTAAAATGTTTAAGGTGAGATCATGCCTGACAAGGCTGACACACTAACTTCTTATCATGAAAAATGAATTAAATCTTACTGCTTCTCTCTCCTTTCCCCCCTGCATGATTTCTGTCTCACTTTCTTCCCACTGTTAACTCTGGTCTCACAAGGTATGTTGAAGCATCCTAATAAAGTATGGGGGAAAGAGTTATTTTTTCTAATATTTGTTGAGTTTTTATATCTGTATAGCATTGAATTGGCTTGGTGGACTTTAGAGCTATTTTCTGTGACATGGGGAAAAGGCTTATTCCTGGCTTTGGCAACAAAGTTCAGTTAACAAGGCTCCATCTATAAAGTGAAATCACTGACCACATAAAAGCGTTCTTTCTAGACAAAAAGATGGTGTGTTTGAAAGGTTTATGTTTGTAATCACAACTCACTGGGGAGGTCATCTGGTAGTTCTTGGTCTGGTTGATGAGGAGTGGCTTCAGGGGTCTTCCCTAAAGAGAAACTGCTCCTCAGAGTGCAGTTAAGCTATCTATTGTGGTTGAGTTGAGGCCTCCCAGCTCAGCCATTAGAAACATGAACCAGGCATTGGATTGTGTATTAGACAGTCTGCAGTAGTGTGGAATGATGTAAATTTCTTGCTTTCTTGGCAGCTTGGTTTTGGGTAAGCAGGGGTATATGTTAAACACTGTGTCCATCTCTGAAGATGTTCTCTGTCAGGACTGTCAAACTGTGTGTGACATTTTTATATATGTTGTCAAATACCAAATAAGTGGTGTTACATTACATTTATGCTCTGCTTATTCTAAATCATACTTCATGGTTTCAGGGTGCTCAAGAAATGTTCAACGCCCTCCCATGTGAGTTTGTGGAACCACATGAATTAAAGGAAGTTTCCAGATCTGGAGGTATGCTGTGACAGTAAAGTGTTTGAAAACACTGGAACCCTTTTTGTGCAAGTATAACAGCTATTTTATTTTTTTTTAACTTCAGACCTCAGAAAAGTCTATGGGACAGTGTTAAGTCGTCACCATCATCTTGTAAGGAAACGTGATGGAATATATGATCCAGTAGACTATGAAAAACATCCAGAAAATTACACTTCTCGCTTTCATATTGATGTGAGCATCTCTTGTGTTCTTTTATGAAAGGTTTTCCAGAGAGTGTTAGTAGTTACTAAACTTTTGCATATTCATCATTTGAGAGAACATTAACTTAAAATACTAGACCAGGGGCTTTCAGATTCTTAAAGTACTAAATAAGAACATCATGCAACATAAGAACATCATGTAATTTTCTTTGCAGGTTGCACCCTACACAACTTGTTTAATTAATGGCATATACTGGGAGCAACATACTCCTCGCTTGCTAAGTCGACAGGATGCTCAGAAGCTGCTGGTGCCAGTTATTTCTGCTGATGGTTCAACAGAGGGCTGTCCTGAGTTACCACACAAGTAAGACACCTCATTTCATCATGCAGCACCATGATTAAGTCGTAATGTTAGGCAATTTCACCACAGTTTCTAGTAAATTATTATGTTTCTTACATTGTTCCTCTTGCATGTTTTACAGTGCCCCATTGACTGTGCTTTTGTTGTTTTGTGCTTTGCTCTTGTGTCTTGTTTTCACAGTTTGGAGTTTTTGAAAACATCATAGTACAAATGATTCACAGGCATCAGCTGTCTTTCTGCAGAGGTAGTTCTGCCCTTGATCCGCGTACATAATCCAGTATAAACAGTGTGGTATCTGGGAATGTACCTACTGCTCCAATATTGCTAGAAGTTTCTCTGCCCAAGCAGAGTTTTTGGAAAAGTTCTTCCTACAGTGTCATTTAGCTTGTACAAGTCCAATCAACTGTTCCTTAGCATCTCTTATTTCTGCAGCAGATGGTGGAAATGTTCACAAACCTGAGACTGGAGTGTGGGGTGCAAATCAAGGGTTAGTCTCCTTTTGCTGGGGGTGAGAGCCACCCTTTGTCTAATAGCCCTGTGTAATAGTTCTTTGGGAGACTGGCTCAGTCATGGAACTGGGGAGGACATATAAATGTATTCTGGTGAGGAATCGCGTCTTTGTCTCTTGTCTGCCCACTCTTGATGCCTTTCTTTCTCAGAGACAGCTCGAGGGAGTTGGCAGATGGATAATGAATGAGAGGTGTTGGCAGTACATGGCATAGAGAGAAAAAATGGTGGATGAAGAGATTCTCCCAGTCTTTGAGAAGTTACACATGAAATATGAGTGCTGTTGATGTGAATGCAAATCTGATGACTACAGTGGGGCCAGATTTCCATTACATTTCCAGATATCATTGTTTGTGTTTTGTTGACTTCTAAATTGGTTAAGATGAATGAAGCTACAAGTCAGATACATTTTCTCACATTTCTTTTATTTCCTGTTCACTTGTGGCCTTTTATACCTATCTTTCTTAGTAATTCGTATAATGCTCTATTCCACTGTCTTTTTTGTTTAATCACTTAGACTTCTGGCAATATGTGACATTTCAGCAGACACTGGAGGATCTATAGAATTTATGACAGAGTGTACAACAATTGAGAATCCATTTTGTATGTATGATGCTGACCAGCATATCACTCATGACAGGTGGGAGAGCCCTTACTTATTGCTTTCCAATGTAATTTTTACAGCGAAATATTATATTGAAAAATCATGTGCTTAGAACACTTCTGAAAGGTGGTACCTGAGAAGTAGTTTAGAAGAACTGTGTTCTCTCTTTCAGTGTTGAAGGCTCGGGGATTCTAATGTGTTCCATTGACAATCTGCCAGCTCAGCTTCCTATAGAAGCAACAGAGTACTTTGGCGATATGCTTTTCCCATATATTGAAGAGATGGTAAGGTCTTATGTGTCCGACAAGAAGGTAAAAGACTTGCACTTTGGTCTGGTTGTTTGTTACTTTTCTGGTCTCCTGTATACATTCAAATGGAATCTGCTGTAGAACATAACTGACATTGTACTTCAAAAAAAGAAAAAAGGTTTTGAAGTCAATCCTTTCAAACACAATATGAACGAGACATTAATGACCTGGATGTCTTAGGGATTTGTCAAGTACGCTTTCTGTATGCAGGAAACAGGCTCTGGCAGGTAGTTCATTGCTTCTGGACCCTGCAGTAAATGTCTAAGTCTGATTTTCTTGGGCACTCAACATTCACTTACAGTCAGACTGCTGTTTGAATTCCTGTATTTTCCTAAAAGTCAAGTGACACGAGTATGGCCAGAAGAATTTCAAATTTATAAGATATTGGTATTGTTGCATGCATTTAAATGTTGCTTGAAATCTTGATGTTTTACTTTGAAAATGTAATGTGTAATAAGTGACCTGATTTGAAATAACTTATCTCCACAGCTGTCATCAGAAGGCTCAGAACCTCTTGAAAAACAGAATTACTCACCTGTTGTTCGAGATGTAAGTTTTTCAATTTGACACTCTTCTTGTCGTCTTCTGCTTTGAAATACATAGATACATAAACCCCTCAAAATTTGTTTCATATACTTTCAGGCAGTGATTGCATCCAATGGCTCACTGACACCTAAGTATCAATATATCCAGAAACTGAGAGAGAGCAGGTAATGTATAGCTTTTTACACCACCCCCCCTTTCTGCATTCTGTCTCCCCTTTTGTATTTATTTACTCTTGTGGTTTAGTGGAATGCATCTATATTGCACTGTGTCTAAATTTGATGCTTGATGATTTCCCTACTTCTTCATGCACATTGCCTAAATCATTAACATGTGTTGATAACTTATATTGAAGTTGAGAAAATTATCATTTTTCTCTTTCTTGAGTTATGAAAACTTTTTTACCAGAGAGAGGCAGAAAACAGCCACATGCCAGTATTACTCTGTAACTCGTCCTTTTGAAATGGATGTAACATATGGTCATTTGAAAGGAATGGCTGAAAGCAAAAGGCTCTTAAATATACCTTGAATCTAGTTACATCTTGTATGGCTCAAGTGCTGTGCTGTGTAGTTTGACAGTAAGTGGGTACCTCTGGCTTCACATTCATGGTCAATGAGAGCTGCACTGTACATGATATAAAAGTTTAAATTGGTCTGACCATAAGCACTGCATGCATTATGCACTAAAAACATAGTGTGTTGACTTCTGCATCCCAAACCTCTCTGCTTTCCTTGGGGAACTTTGAGATTTGTGGTCATGAACACGTGCATGATGTACTGTAGGTGCATTTTCTACACAAAGTAACATACTGTTTGCTTCTCAGAGGCTTCAGTTCAGAGTGATTTTTGTTATGTGCTGTTTGAGAGACCCCCTCAAGATATTGTCTCAATAGCAAATTTTCTTATTCCTCACAGAGCCTAATGATCTAATTTTTTTGCTTCCTCTATAATCCCTTGCATGGTCTTGTGCAAACTACCCTGAGAATCTGGAGACTTCATTCCAAAGGGGGTTTTTGTGGGTAGATTTTTTATATTTCTGCAGATCTGTGTGTGTATTGTAAGTCATGTTCATTTGTTCATTGGTATTGTACACTTAGCTGTTGGAAAAGCAGAACCTGCTAACAATACCTTCCTTTACTTTGCAAACTTTGGGGATGATGCAGATGAAAGCAGGGTTTTACTGCTTGAGGTGTGATGGTTTAGGTAGAGATAGGCTCTTGTTTAAAGCCTATAGGAATGATGTGCCTTGTTATTACTGTAACATAGTATGATGCTGTGTCCAGTTCAGTTTTTGAGGGCTCTATTTAGACTAATTGCTAATACCCTTTCAAGTCCATGGGCATTTCAGACATAGGATAGTCAGACTGCATGAGCTGAACTGCCTTGGGTACCACTAGAATGCAGAAGCATTTTGATTTACCAAATTCATTTTCATCTTTACACCTTTACTTGCTTCTTAACTCCTACTGGTTTCCCATCCACAGCTGCAATGGCATATCACCGTGTGGGCCTCCAGTATTACTGTTATTTGTTCATAGATCAACATAACTGAATTATTTAAACTCATATATAGAGAATAGGCATAATCTGAAATGTTTTTTTCTGGACCCATGTAGATTCTGTTCCCATAATTGATGAGTCATTTGGCAGCTCACAGTTTTGACTGTCCTAGAGTAGACATGCTGTGTTTGGTCCAAGTGTGACCTCATTCTAGACACTGGAAAAGTTTTTAATAAATAAGAAAAGTTTGATTGCAAAATTCAGCTCACTTTCATAGAGGAAGTCCTTCCATTCATCAACACTCCAAGCTGCATACCACTTCTGCTCTCTAAAGGGTAGAGAAGTATTTTTCTCTTGCCCTGCCCATGAGGGCAGCTGTGGAAGATATTCTATCAGAATAGGTAGTAGTAGGAGGAAAGTCCTTGGGTGATGGGCTTAGAAGACTTTCTGCGAATGTATTAAATCATGACTTGACTTTCTATAAAAAGAATAAAATCTGTAAAACTTTTATGAAGGTAAAAATTTACAGTAATCCATAGTAATAATTTAGATAGATTAGAAAGTTTTACAACTTAATGCAAATTTAAGCTAAAAGGAAAAATAATTATAAACAACCAAAATGTGTTTTCCTACTATAATTTATGTGTTTCTGAGAGCATATTTAAACAACTGCAGCATTAAATTATTCTAGTTGGCAAATAAAATGCAAAGTCTGCTGTGAATATATTTTATATTGAAAGTCATCAGGAGATCTACTTAAATTTATTTATGAGAGTACTAGTGGTTTGGTTGAAACACTGTATGATGATTTTCAAATCTGAGTCCTTGTCTGCAATGATGATTTCTTAGTTGGGCATTAACTTTTATTTGACTTTTATTGACTATCATGTTCCTATGATGGACTAATATGAGCCTAGTATAACTTACACAAAATACACTTTCACCAGAATGGTTTTGCGTACTTTAAGAGTTACCTGTGATGTAAAGGAAGCTAGATAGAGACTGAAATCCCTTTCTGATAGCCCAGCATGACAGCTTGGTGGTCCTCCCGTGATCAGGTTACAGGAATTTGGCCATTGGAAAAGATGCAACCGAGGAAAATTTTGATGAACAGCCACTAACAATTCAAGAAGCAGCAGAGATGTTGATGGATTGGTCATGTTTATGTTAGAGAAAAGAAATTAGAATGGAAGCAGTACTAAATGGTGCTGGATCAGTTAATTAGGAACTTGACTCTCAGTCTGAATAGAGCTCTTGGTTTGTAGACTTACTAAATATATACTTCTGTTAACCTTAGCAGCTTACAGTTTCCTTCTGTGTGGTTTTTAATTTTACCTGTAACACCTTCTAGGGAACAGGCTCAGTCGCTAAAGATGGGTGATAAGAAGAGGGTTTTATTGCTCGGATCGGGCTATGTTTCTGGCCCTGTACTTGAATATCTCACTAGAGATTCCAACATTGGCATCACAGTTGGTACGTAAGAATTTGTTTATTTTCATTACAAGATTGTGTCTTACTGAAACCTGCTAATGTGGCAGAACCTTTCTCATAAATAATAAATGGATGCTGTACTGAGAACAGATAAAGAAAATCTTTGTTATTGTGCACAGCAGAAAAGGATTTTGTAGCTTTGTGAGCATTTTGGGTTTATATAATTGATTTGAAAATTACATAGCCACGTTAAAAGTTTACTGTTTGCATGTGTAATCTGTAGGGAAATTAGAGGTATTTTTTCCTGTTTGAGGCTTGGGATTGTTTTTGTAGCTAGTAAGTCAGCTGGTGTTTGGCTGTGTTTTCAGCCTCAAACAACAAGAAGATGAAAATGTTTTTATGGACATCTGTATGAGTGAAGTCTCTGCTGTTTTTATAACCAGTACCCTGGTGGTAAAACTTCTCTGACCTTCCCATGAGCCCCACATGCCTGCTTCTTTATTCCTCTGTTTTGGTTTTATCTATAGCATGTTTCAGGCTGGGGATCTCAGTAGCTGTTTTCTGTACTCTTAATGATGACTATCCTGATTCTGTGACTTCAGATTTAAAACAAAGGCTGTATTGCCTGAAAGATACTTTACTGGGAAGTGGTTTCACTTAAAACTTACAGTTATATTTCTGTTGATTTTTGTTGTTGCTTTGGTTTGTGTTTTTCCCTTCATGCTATTTTCATACTTGGCTGCTTTTGGTACCCTTCATGGTGATAACCATAGTACTTTTAACCCCTGGGAGAAGATTTACCAGGAAGAAGTGGGGAACTCTAGGAAAGCTGCACTCTGGTTATCAGTACTGCCTGAGGTGGTGAACAGGGAAGGATTACAGCAATGTGCAGTGAACATCCCCTCATCAGTACAGAAACTGCATCTAGTTCCTGCAATACAGTAGCAGGAAGGGAAACTAGGTGAACTGGAAGATGTGTTTTGCCAAGCACTGAGCAAACATAGCAGGTGCCTCTTATCTGGGTAGCTTAAAAACATACAATTTCTACAGCTCACACTCGGAAGGAAAGAGACACAAAGATATTACTTGTTTAATATTTGACAGGAGCCAAGTAGGCGCAGAAAGCACAAAATGCACATCACAGTGCCATGTTTGGTTTCCTGCTGTCAGGCTACACCACTTTAAATCCAAACGTTGGAAACCTTAATTGGGAAACCTTCATGTAATCAACTTCTTTTAGTTTGAATTTGTGGATGATTTTGCCTAGCACTTTTTCTCAGCACAATTTTACTAGTAGAGTGTGGAGAATCACGGTCCAGCAATCTTTATTTCCCATTGAGTGTGGAAAGGTCATAAGGAAATAAGGCCCTAACTTAGAGGCACAGATGCTTTTAATTCTCCATAACCCTGTGCCTCACCTGCTTTCTTCTTTGGCCACTCCTTGTTCCTGGCTGAGTTCCCTCTGTTTTGTGCTGGCAGCCATGGTGAGATGGGGCAGGAAACCAGTGAGATGTGGCAAATACTGGCTGCATTGTCATGGATCTCTTTTTCAGTTCTGCGTTCCTTATAATGGTAGGGAAGTGAAGGCAGGCAAACACTGGATTTATCCCCTTTAGTTATAATATTATCGTATGCATGATTGGTAGGAGTAAGCCATAGGGAAATATTAAAACTAATCAGATTGAATCTGGGCCTTTTAGTAATATTTGACCTAAGCTAAAGCATAATGCTTCTATCTTTGTTACATTAAAAGTGGTGAATGATGTGATTTGTTTTTGCTTTAAACTATTAAACTGTTCTTCATTGTAAATAGGAATTCTGTTAAAGTGTATTAAAAAGGAGTGTTTGAAAGATTTCTTTTTAAACCATATTTATCTATAAATGTACAGCTATGTAGAGTGAGGGATGGACTAAGTTTTTCTAAGCATGTGTTTGTTTACTAAATCTGTTAGTTAGCTGTGTTGAACTTGCATGTTCATCTAGACCTTGAAACCAGCTAAGGTTTTCTTGTCTCACTTAAGCCAAACAGAGCCTGAAAAAGAAAAATAAATTTTCCTCTTTAGGCTTTTTTCCCTCCTGGACTTCTAGTCAGCTTCTTGCTTTTCAGTGAAGTAGTCTGAGCTTTTGCAGAAATAGATACTACCATCAAAAACTGATTGAATACTTCACCTCTGAATTGAATTGGCCAGGTTAGAGAAGTAACTATTTTAGAACCAGGCAAAAATATGTACTACATAGTGACCTAAAATACTTTAGGCCTCAGGATAAATTGTTACACTAATTGAAAATGGTTGTTTTTCAGCAGGATGATGCTAATCCAAACATGGTTTACTTTTAAAACATATTGGGCATACAATTTTTCTGCTGCAATCTTCCCTCAAGAGTCAGTGCAATACAATATTTCATTAAAGTGGAAAAGAAGGGAGATAACTTCTGGTTTTGTGTGAATAATTTGTGTTGACTTAGTCTGCTGATAGGAAAACTGCAGCTAAAACTTTTGTCAAGTACTCCAACAAAGCTGCTAGTAAGTTGCAAGTCTGTTCTCATTACACAATTTAGCAGTGAGTGGTTCTTTACTTCTGAGAGTAAGTAATCCTTGTAGATTCTTATTCTTGAGTTATAACTGTTTTGACACTGGCAATTGATAATAAAATTGACTATTTAGGGGAAGTAAAGTGCTTTATGCCTGATTTCCCTTCAACTATTAGTGAAGGAAAACATCCATGCAACTGTTTGTCTTTGGGAAATATAGCACAATTATACATGGGTGTGCTTAGGACTTAGCTTTGTCTTTAGGTAACGGTTTATGCATTTTACTTTTAAAACAGTATCTGTCATGAAGGAGCAACTTGAGCAACTGACAAAAAAATACAGCAATGTTACTTCAGTTCATATGGATGTCCTTAAGCGGGAGGAAAAGCTGTCCTCTCTGGTGAAGAAACATGACCTCGTAATCAGGTCAGAATTCTGTGTAAAACATGATAGGCTCGAAACTAAGTCATGCTGCTTCTTTCTCCTAGTTGACTGATCTAAATCAATACAGTAACTTTTTTTTTAATGGCCAAGAACTGGGGTCATATTTGTAAATGTAAGTAGTTGTAACTGGCCAGTGCCTTCTCATGTGCCATGGCATCAGGACTTTAGAAGGGGTTTTGTCTGCAGCATCTCTTCTGAAGTGTTCAGTAGTTACGTGGACTCCCTTCCACAGGCATTTGTGTGAGGGGCCGGTTGCATCCACAAATATATGTGTCCCTGGGATCAAATGTGCATGTTCACAAGAGGAGGCAAAATTCGGACACCTTGGTCATTCCTCCTGAATATCCCATTAAGAAAGAATTAATTCCAGGCATTGATACAGGGAAGGAAATAACTTCATAGTCCTTACCTTTCTGTTTCTTTTGCTGTGGATGTCATGAGTGTTGTTTTCATTCCATGTAGAGCATGCTTTTCACAAAGTACTTCACCAAGAGCTTTGTAATGCAAGCTTTCACAGGTGTGGTTTTGCAGCCGTACCTGTTTAGAAGGTGGCTTTGGAAAGAGGTCAGTGGTTTGCGTTTTACAGAGAAGTGTGACAAAAGATGCTGTTTCAAGAATGACTCCCCTACTATTTGGTGCCCTGTTCTGAGTGCATATAACAATGCTGGCCTGATAGGGTAGTATTTCAATTATGTAGGTATGAAACTGCTCAGGGTATGACTGTTTTTTTGAGCTATTACTTGAGCCCTTTTGTAGGCATACAAAAAACATTTGTGAGTGTCTTTCTAGTGACAGCATAAGTAACTGGTTGAATTTTGATGTTGCATAATTCTCCTTCATTTGTAGTTTGCTACCTTATTCAGCACATCCTTTTGTTGCTAAGAAATGTATTGAGAACAAAGTGAACTTGGTAACAGCCAGCTACTTAACACCAGCTATGAAAGAACTCCAGGAGAGGTAGGTGTGACAGTAGCATCTCCCTGGTTTTGCTTTCTTTTTTAGCATTTTCTGAATATTTTGCAGTCTGTTACACCTGCAATGCTTGGTGTGAATTAGTGTTTTCTGTGTTTTTTTCTCCTTTCCTTTCTGTGCTGGAAGACTAAGTACTTTTCCCCAAAGGTGCATGTGGCAGAGAGGAGCAATGAGTGCATACCCCAACCTCATTATACTAGTGCTCTAAACACTGAAATGTACTTTCCTGCATGCATCATCTTATTTCATGTTAATGTTCCTTTTCCTCTCCCCTCAGACCTGTCAGGATCATCTGATGTTCAAGTTGAGCAGCTGGGCTGTCCTATTCTAACAGCAAGCTTGTTTGTCATCCTTTGCCTTCCCCTAATAAAAACTCATTCTTGGCTTATTGTATCTACAGTAATCTCCTTCTTCGTGCCCTTCTTTTGGATAGGCACATTGTATTATTCTCAAATTGGTGACAGCTCTAACTATTGTAATGTTTCTGTTGTCCTACTTACTATGTGCTTGGGAGTTGTTTTGGCATGGGGCTTCATCTAGGTGCTCCTCTCAGTCGTGATACCAGAAAATCTGAAGCACATTCAAGTGAGATGAGAACTGTACATGCTGTGTCTTTACAAAAGATAAAACAGAAAAAGCTAGACAGGTAGAGAACCAGTGTTGCAGACAAGGAGGGAGATTTAGGGGCCCTCCTCCCCTTCTTGCTGACGTCATGGCATGCTTTCAGAAAAAAAAAAAAAAGAAAAGGCACTTCTCATTTATCAAAACACAAAGTGATTTTGAAAATAAAATAAATCCTCCGTTTGTGGTGATAAATGAGCTCCTCTGGGAGTGTCGGCACCTATTAGAAAAAAAAAAAGAAAACTCTAATACTTTTAATTTGGGAAAGTAGGCCTTTCAATCTCTCACCTGCAGGACCTCTTCAGGACAATTAGGACTACCTCTGTCCTGCCCTCTGCATTACTACCTTCCTGCATTATGGCACTGTCCAGGAGAGTGCGGGATGTGGAGTAACTGGGAGGAATTTCTTTTTCCACCAGCCCTTAGGTCTTGCAGTGAAGTAAGAGAATCAAAAGTTAGAAAGCTCTCAGACAGTTGTCATTGTTCAGGTTTCAACATCTGCTTTTGGTTTTTTCGTTTTCCACAAGCTGCAGATAGACCAGAATTTACTGTGGGGAAGATTCACTGGGCCTTTGTTGGACAGATTTACCGAATAAAAGGCCAGTAATAATGAATATTCTGACGACTCTGTGTTTCTGTTATTTTTAGTGTAGAAGCTGCTGGTATTACAGTTGTCAGTGAAATGGGTTTGGATCCTGGTCTTGACCATATGCTGGCAATGGAATGCATTGACAAGGCAAAAGAAGTTGGTGCTACGGTAAGGTTAGCAGGTAGTTCTGCCAAATTTCTATTAATAAAGTTGTTTTTTTAACCCCAGATGAGGTGTAACAGACTCTGGACATTTTACTTTTTCTGGTGCTTGGAATTTGGTAGATACTAATGTGTAACTGATATGTGACAGATGCTGGACATTTTACTTTTTCAACTAAGATGGCCATGCCCCAGTGTATGTTTTGGTTTCCTCTCCTTTATGGACAGTGTCTGCAGTGGGACAGCTTGACACTGTTGCTCCTTGAAATTGTTTTATTTTCCCCTTTTTACTGTAGATTCTTCTGATTTGGCCCATTTAGGGGATAATGTCAACAGAAATTTTAAGAACTAATGGGGATTCTGCAGGGTAGCTCTGTGCCATTTGCATCCCGGTCTGTCTTGTCTTCACTGTTTCTTTCCTGTGGATAAATCTGACAGGTTATATCCTACACTTCTTTCTGCGGTGGCCTGCCAGCTCCGGAGCACTCTGACAATCCTCTGAGATACAAGTTCAGCTGGAGTCCACAAGGAGTGTTGCTGAATACAGTTCAGTCTGCCACATATTTAAAAGATGGAGAGGTGAAATAATGTGAATATTTTTATTTAAAGACAGACAAAAAAGGTGGTATTGGGCTAAGAAAGGAATTGGAATTTGTAAGGTGCTATTTACTTTCAAACCAGTGTCAGTCAGGTGCCTAAGCCAGTTGCATACATGACTTAGTCCCATATTTGGAGCATGATGGTGACTGACTGCTATCAGCTTAATTCTTACTTACTACATGGAAACTGATTGCAAGGAGGGAAGGTATTCTAATAACTAAAGCACTGGACTGGAGTTGGTTTTCTGGGTTCAACTTCCAGACCTGTTGCGTGTTGCTTTTCCACTTAATTGCCCTGTCTTTGGCCCTGTGAAACAAAGGTGAGAGTGCATCCTTCTACTTGCTTTTCTATCTAGTCACGTTTGTAAACCAAACAGCTTCATTTTGTAATTGTGCAGTGTATAGCAGAATTCTTGATTTCTTTTTCTTTTGGTGCAACCTGTAGTACTGAGTGGGTTTTGTGAAGTGTTTTTTTATGTGTTTTATATATGATCTGTTTTGCTGTTTGTGCAACCTCTCAAATGGCACTGCATCTGTTTTATGGAAAGATTGTAACTGATTTGTGGAAAGCTATTGCAAGCCGTTATCACAATTCCTGTTCCTAGTACTGTGTTTCTACTGTCACTTGCTCAGAGTAGTTACTGCAATACTGCCTTGTATAACCACTGTAAAGTTTAGCTAATTACCTAAACTCTTTTATCTGCAAAACTTAGAAATCTTTTGAGATGTTTTATCATGACATTCTGGTGCTCTACTGTAAGAAAGGAGAAATTCAAGGATTGTACATTGGATCATTATTTAAAAAGTAAAAACACATAGTTAAAAGTTTAAGATGAAAGGGTTTCATGGAAAATGTGAAAATGTTTCTGATTTAATTCTGATCTGGTTCACCTATTGCTAGGAAAAATTAGATCACGCATGTGAATGATTCATTATGAGAGCACTGGGAAAGCTTGTCAGTAAATTCTGCAATTTTTTTCTCCTTGACACTAAATACTTATCTGTCTGACCATTGTGTAGGATTCTTTCACACACCTGTCTTGTCTGGCAAACACAAGATGATCTTTTGGCATAGCTACACGCTTCATTGCTTTAGTATTTCTTCTAGAAGTATACCTTGCCCCTTTGCTCAGAAGTCAGAAAATGAGTTTTCATTGATGCTGCACAGCAGATCTAGGCATTAGCTGCTTGAAGGAAGCAGGGTTCAAGGCTGTGGCTGGGAGTGATAATAGACCTAGTCAATGTCTTTTTTTGTTTCCCTTCAATAGTGTATTCTCTCTGTGCTTTGTAGCCTCAAGTAAGGATACACATGGGCAGCAATTTCGTATCTTTATTTTAATCTTTAAAAAGAGAAGAAACCACCCCCACCATGCTGTTTATATTTACCTTCTCCTCCTGCATAAAAAAACCCCAAGATAATAAATGATTTGACCAAAAAGCAGGGAGCATATGGGGCAGAGTCTCCCTTCACAATTTAGATTGGGCCTTTGTTTGCACCTGAAACACTAAGCATGTTTTTTTCTATTTTTGAGCATACTTTATCTTTTGTGTTCTGAAATAAATTGAATAGTACCCCAAAAGAATACTTGCTTATTTACTCTTGTTAATATTATAGTAATTATTTAATATTATATTAATTATTAAGTATATTAATATTTGCTTATTTACTCTTTCAAAAACTTTAGATTATCAATATTCCAGCTGGAGGAGCATTACTGGATTCTGTCACTCCAATGGATTTTTTCCCAGGATTAAATCTTGAAGGTTTTCCTAACAGAGATAGTACAAAATATGCTGAGCCATATGGTATTCAGACAGCTCGCACTTTATTGAGAGGCACCTTAAGATACAAAGTAAGTTGTTGGTGTTATTATTAGCAATTACTGTTTTCCTCAAGAGATGAATGTTGTAATTTCAAGAAAACTGTGTATTTAAAACTCAGCCTTTTATAGCTCTGCACTTGCTATTTATGAGCTCTTCACTATTCCAGTTGAGATAACTCAAAGCACGTATCTCATTTTTTTTGATATAGCTTTACTTGCTGTATTTAACAGGTATTTGTTGCAAACAAGAAAAAAAGTTTTACTCATTTTAAGCAACTGGTCAGTGGGCTTTGCATAGTCTGTATCTGTGGGTTTTTTTATTCTGGCTCTGTATTTGGTGTCAGATCAATAGAAGATTTTAAAAAAATTAAGTTATTCTGGTGGGTTTATGTGATGGTTTAAGTGGTTTTAAGAACTGATCTATTCTCTTTATTTGATAAAAATTTGAACTTACAGTTTTGATGCTTATATTCCCATGAAAAACATAATGGAAAGATCTTACAGAAAATTATGGTTTTCCATGAAGCTGAGAAAGTTTTTCATTAAATGACTAGGCATCTTGAATTTCAGAAGCTTTATAGTTTTGGCCAGCTAAGTAAAATATTAAGAGATAAATGTGTTTGCCTTCTAGCTGATCGACTCTTTTTCTTTCATTTGTTAGGTGCATAAAGCAGAATCAAAACAGAATCTTTTTTCTTTCAGATTTCCTTTTTTTAAATTATATTGTCAGTCAATATACATTATGAAGGAATAAATCTAAAGCCATATTGAAGGTTTGAAAAAGCTTTTATGGATGTCATAACATGTCTTTGGAATGATGGTTTATGCCAAGGTTTAAGTTACTGTTATTTGTCCATGGCCTGAGGAATGTGTATGTCCTTTCTGTCATAATTCCTTCGTTGCAATACAACAGGATTTTTTCTTTATTTCTGGGAGGGAGGGAGGTTTGCTTAGCAAAAGAAGATGTAAGGCCAGTGTGGGGGAATAAGAGTTACAAATTGCACTAGCTCTCTTATTGTCAGTCTAGATACAATCTCTTGTTCAGAAGCTAAAAATATGTGGAAGGCATCTATCTCATAATGGAGTCTTAATATGACAGTATCTACTCTTCCATTTGGTGCCTGGTAAAATTTTCTTCTTTTGTAAAAGTGTTAGCACAAGGAACTGCAAAAATGTCAGAGTGACATGACGAGTGATTGTCAGTGTGCTGCAAGAGTGCTGTTTCTATTGTTTGTGCTGCTTTCTTAATGCCCAAAGCAGGCCCAAGCACTTTGGGTTGGGGTGATGTTGGTAGGGGTGTGTGGAAGAGCTTGCCATACCTCTACCTGCATGGTACCTGCATCCCAGCACGTGGTGCTGAGCAGGGCAGAAGGTATTGTTGACCCTTTGCGCATGCTGCTGTTCTGCAGAGCAGGAAGCAATCTGTTCAGTGCAGAAGCAATCATCTTCTCAAAGTGCCTTTTAAAGAATAGGTTTAGAAAGATAATGGACTCAGTTTAAAAACAGGTGTCACACAGAAGGATCTCACTGCAAGGCCATCTGAGCTGATAACCTAGTGCTGATGGAAGTGGCTCCTAATTATAATTAGCCCTCTTTCAGAGTGCTTTATTTCCACCATTCTGCTTTTTTAGTGTTTCTAGTCACTTGCATGTAAGTGTTTTCAGGTATGCAGCAGAGGTGTGGCAGTGTTAAGGGGATACAAACAAAAGTAAGCAGAAATCCATTGAGACTTCTTTTATTGTGCAACCTATTGCTGCTTTTGCAGTATCATTCCACTGCTGTCAAATCCTTTTAAATACCATTCTACTGCTGTCCTGGTAGTCTCTCTGATATTCCTGAAGGAGAGAAACAAACACACAGGATTCTTATCTTTAAAATCATTATATCTGATTTGATCTGTGATACAATCACAGTGGTGTAAGACTGGAGTGAGCAGAGTTCAGCATTGGGCTCTCTGTTTGGTAGCTTGTTTATGGGCCAGCTGGCTGATACAACCCTGCCTATAATGATGTGCTGGACTTTGAACTAGTGCTGGCCAGCTGAGCCCTTTGATCTCAGGAACCAATGGTACTTGCCATGGAAGTATTTATGACAGAATAAGTCATTAAAGAGGGTATTGAAAAGTAGGGAAGGGGTGGAGAGGACCTGGAAAAGGCAGTAACCCCACTGGCACTGACTTTTTGTGGCTAACTTGCCAAGAGAATAACACTTAACACTGCCATGGTTTTGTCTATCATTACATTCAAACGAAGGAGAAATACCTCATTTTTGAGTGTTTATTGTATTTAACGATGTTATTTTTTTATTTCAGGGATACTCCAAAACTATGGGAGGCTTTGTAAAACTAGGATTAATTAACCCAGATCCTTACCCTTTGCTAAGCTCAACCACACCACCTCTAACCTGGGTAAGTTACTCTGATTACTCTGCCTTCTTTCCTCTATTTTATCCATAGTTTTCTTACTGCTAGGCTTGGATGTACTTAGCATTTCTGAATCTTGTATTGCATCCTGGTCTTCTCTGATTTTTGTTCCTGGAAATTCGAAGACTTTCTTCAGTAGGAATGTAATATAGTGCTTGAACAGGTTCCCTGAGAGACTTTGGAATCTCTGACATTGGAGGCTTTCAGGACTTAACTAGACAAAACCATGGCCATGTCTTTATGAATTATCTTAAATTTTCTGTTACTCAGAGTCTAGCCCTCAGTGCTGTGAGTTTACAGTGTCCATACTGGCACATGATCTTCAGTGTAAAAGTATGTTTTAGGGCATCAAGAAATAGGAAATCGTGCATAAAGGAGTATATTAAAATATTATTTTTCTGTTAAAACTCCATACAGCATTTTTTATGTCTTCTGTTATGCTGCTTTTCTGTCTTGATTTTGGTTGCCTTAATCTTTATCGCAGCCAAGGCATGACTCTGATGTACTGCTGTTACGTTTGACAATCAACATTTTGGTTGGCTCTGTGGAGAAAGCAGGGAATTTCATATTTCAATATGGGGTAAAGAGAGCTTATTACTTACCGGGTCTGTTTGTCTGCCTTCTGAGGAAAATTGTCTTCCCTTTTGCAAGCCCCTGAGAGAATAACTGTTTATTACTCAGGTGAACAAAATTAAGATCTGTCTTCATCTTTGTGCATTTTTAAGCACTAATCTGGAAAAAGACACCAGGCTTGTGCTGTGTAATGGTCTGAGGACAAGACAGTGTTTTTCTGATGACGTCATTATTTCCAGTTAAGAATGTCTTAACTGTTCTCGGAACCAAGAAAGCAGAAGGTCAAGAGGGCAAAGTCTTCCTTGTCTCTGACTAACTTACAGTAGTTCTCATTTTCCCAAACTCAAGGAGTTTTTGGACAGCCACATGAGAATTACCTTTTTTTTTTTTTTGATAATTTTTGTCCAGTTTGAATTTTAGGGTTCAGTTTGAGGGTAGTCTTTCTAGCCTCAGTGAATAAGTATACAGTGTTATGTAATCTGAGAAAATAACTGTAAACTTATTACTCTCACTGCAAACATTGACTTAGCAAGGTTTTTACATTTTGGTAGTTTCCCTTTATCTCCTCTGCCTGGGAAGCTCAGGCCAACCTGAGCTTCTAAAGAGACTCTGCAGTTCTTTCTTTCTTCATATCTTGCTTATAGCTCTCTTTATTATCTGTCTTGCTGTGAATGAAGGAAGCAATAATTAGCATCTAAGTAATGGCCTTCAGATACGCAAAAAAATCTTAAGAAAGCTCTTTGGTAATACTCCCAGGATTGCCAGAGCCTTGTTCATCTCATCAGTCTGTTTCCTTCATTTTGAGAGGGACGTTTTTCATTTCTAATCCAACTGAAAGATATCATATCCTTAAGTTCCTGACTCTGGCAGTCTCCAGGTGTCTTCTTTTTCGTCCTAACATCCTCCCACTGTTCCTTGTTTATGCAGATTTCTATGTTCTTTCTGTACTGCCAGAGGAACTGATAAGACTAAAAAGTAGGGGGAAGCAACTGAGGGGTGGGGTACAAAGTGTTTTACAAAAAGATAGGCCCTATTCTCACCTGCAGTGATTAAGATTTTCACACTTTCTCACTTTCCCTTACACATAACCTGTCTTGTCAGAAGTCCTGAATTTTAACTGAGCTTAGTGGAGCAGTGGTTTCCCAAAACCTTGACTGAAAAGGGGTGGGAACAAATATCTTCATGAACTTTTTTTTTTTTTTTTTTTTTTTTAATGCAGAAAGAGCTCATGTGCAAACTGGTTGGAATTAAGTCTCCTGTTGAGCACCATGTTCTTAAAGAAGCTGTATTTAGCAAACTGGAAAAGGACAAAAGTCAGCTGGAGGCAGTAGAATGGTAAAAATGTTCCAGTGATTTTTGATGTTTTAAAAAAAAATAAAATGTTTGCAATTCTAGTCATTTTGGTTCATGTTGAGACTGTTAAACTGGTATGCTGAACAAGCTGGAAATTATAAAACTGAGATGAAGCTGTTGATAGGCAATGATATAAGCCTTTCTCATTTCTTCTGCCAGGCTAGGTTTATTGGGAGATGAACAAGTTCCAGCAGCAGATTCCATTGTGGGGGCTCTTGCAAAGCATATGGAGATGAAGTTGCCCTTTGGTATGTGAGAAATTATTCTCATGTGTTTGAGTGGAGCAAGTCCATATCTTTTATCAGCCATAGTTAGATTAGTTTGCTCACCTTCATCAGTAAACCTTCATGTTAGGGTTTGTAATCTATTGTGATGTTCTTTACTTCTCCAATTTATCCTTTTCTTTCCCTGTTACGTGTTTAGTTTCATCTTAGTATTCTGTCCTCCTTAATAGTCCTTGCCTTCAGTCACTTCCTTGATACACATGCTGTCCATGTGTAGTGCCTGGCTCCTCAGGAATCTCATCTTGATGTACCTGAAATACAGTTTGTGCGCTTTTCTCTTAGGTACTGGAGAGAGAGATATGATTATTATGAGAAATGAAATAGGTCTCAGGCATCCTTCTGGTCATTTGGAAGACAAATTTGTTGATCTGGTTGTCTATGGAGATAACAAAGGACATTCTGCAATGGCTAAAACAGTAGGATACCCCACGGCTATTGCAGCGAAGATGGTTCTAGATGGTAAGTGGCTATTCTGACTTCAGTAACAGTATTGCAACCCTCTGTATCTTTCTGCTGTAAAAAGCAGATATATAGTGTTTCTGAAGTGTATATGTGTATATTTTTTTTAAATTTACCAGAATCTTCCTGTCTTCTTTACAGGAATTTTTAATCTGCATGTTTGGTTGTTCAGTGACAAGTCTTAATTTCCTACTTAATCCATAAAGATTTTAAGCAATTTAATCTTAAACTGGTGTAGAGGAAACCTTTAACATGATAAATTACAATTGATTATGCCACAGTGAAACAGGTTAACATACACCTGTGCTGAACAAAATAGCTAGTTTCGGGATTGACAAAATTTGAGGCTTATCTGATCATGTTGTATATATATAAACAAGAAAACTTCCTAGTCATTACTGTGTTGAAAGAAATAATATTATTTCCCTGTGCTTTCATTTAATCTTTAGAACATTGCTCTTCTCATGGCTAACCAAAATGAGCAAAACTATGGGTTTTTTGTTGTTGTTCTTATTTTAAAAAGTCCCAGCAACTCAAATTTTTAAGGTTTAGATGCTTTTCACCTAACTGCTGTGTCACAGCTCTATGAATTAAGTTCAAGCTGTGTATGCCACAATGTGTTCCAAACTTTTTTTCCTTATTTTTGATACTGTACTGATGCTGTGTGAGAACCTAATGCCAGGATTGATAGATCTGCATGTTTAAATATATGCAAAAAGAAAAAAAATGAAAATTCATATAATTGCATATTAATTTTTGCATTTGGGTTGCCCTTGACTGACCGCCAGACTCAGCCACTCTGTCATTCCTCCTTCTCAACAGTATGGGGAGAAAACAAGATGAAAAAGCTCATAAGTTGAGATGAAGACAGAGATGACTTACTCTTTACTGTCATAGGCAAAACAGGCTCAACTTGGGAGAAAATTTATTTCCAATTAAACAGGTTTCGATAATGCAAAAAAAGAGACAAATTAAAACAACAACTTCCTTTTCCCAGGCTCAAATTCACTTTTCCATTCACTTCTCAACTTCTTCCCTCTCTCCTGAGCAGTGCAGGGAGCTGCGAAATGGGGACCTGTGATCAGTCCATAACTGCTTCTCTCTGCTGCTCCTTCCTCTTACTTTTCCTCTGCTCCAGCAGAGTCTTCATCACACTCTGATCCAGTGTCTGGAGCACCTCCTCCCACTCATGCTCTGACATTGGTGTTGCAAGGCTGTTTCTCACACTTCTTTCCTCACTGCTGTTCATTGTCTTGCTCTTTCTTAAATACGTTTTCCCTGAGGCACCTCATCTATGGCTGAGGGGCTCAGCTGTGCCCTGCAGTTGGAGCTGGCCAAGTCCAGCACAGCAACCCTGATCTTGCCCTCAGAAGCCCCACGTTGAAGTTACCAAAGCCTTGCTGAGTAAACCTGGTAGAGCCCTAACTCTGGGCTAACTCACTGGGTTTTTTCTACCTTTATTTCAGGTGAAATAGTTGCCAAAGGCATGGTTATACCCTTGACGAAGAATGTTTATGGACCAATACTTGAACGTGTTCGGGCAGAAGGCATTGTGTACAGTACTCACAGTGTTATCAAACAGTAACTGGAAGCAGTGGATTTAACCAGGTCTTGGCTTTGTTTGGTTCCAACCTCTGCCGCCCCTTTAAGAATCTCAATTTGAACCAGCTAAAGGCAGCACCTGCCGTTTCATACACAGATGTTGCCTTCCATAAAACCTGCTTTGATGTAGAAACTGTAGATACTCATGAATTTTGGTATTTTCCTCTGAAAATTGATAAGCTTTCATGTACGTGTTTCAGCATCGATCAGATCTTTCCTTAGATCTTTTTCTAAAATATCTTGGAAGGGTTGGGTTTGTTTTTTCTTTTTTTTTGTTATAGTTTATCTTCCAGCTATATAGGGTTATTAAGACAAATTTAAGCTTAAAGAAGTATCTATTAGTGGATTCTCTTTTGGTGGGAAAGTCTAGTTAATGAATTCCATTGATGAAGTTTGCTTGTTCATGTGGTAAAAATTTTTCAGAATAATGGAGATGAAAGTGATATTTAAAATTTTAAGTCTGATTGTTCCTTCCCCTTTAACAGTATTTTTGAATATTTTCACAATAACAATATGCAAGAAATAGTTTAGAAATTCTGCACTACTAGCAAATAAGAACCTGTTAAATCTTAAAAATGTTCATTTCTTAAATATTTCAAACCTAGATCTTAATATTTTTTTAATCCATTTATAATGAGTGTAAATTTAAATTAATTGGAGGAGGGAGGAAGTTTAAAGCAAGCTTCCTCCCCATACACTTTCCTGTTACAGAGTGGAAGCTGGTTGCAATATGTTGAAATACCTGCTGTTTTGTATTGCCTTGTGCTGTGGAGAGAGGACATTAACATTTAGCTAGGCAGCTAGGAAGGGCATTCTACAGTTAATACAGAAATACAACAGTTAATGTGGTTAGAAGCTGCTCCAAATGATGTTTAGTCCTTCCACTTACACTATGTGCCTTGTCCAGGTTAAGTACTGTTACAAAGGGAATAGATTGTGTAGTATATGCAGCTTTGAAATGCAGTACGCTTAGAATTTTTAATTGCCACATTTTAAGTTAGCTTCTGCCCTTCTGCTATCAGGCTTTTCAAGTATTCATTTGGGAGCCTATGCATACTACTCAGTACAGTGCCACTTTAGACTGATGGGAGTTTGCCGGTGGGCCAGCTCACTTGCTGCTGAGTGCTGTGCTGCACAGATCTGTCATCCCCCCTCTAGCTGCAGTTTAGCCACATCAGTCCAGAACTGAACTTTAGCCCAAGTGCAGCTTCTCTGTAACAAAGCAGCAGTTGCCTCCTTCCAGTTCAGGGCTGCTTCTCTGGCTTTTGCTTAGGGATTTCTACACCACCTTGCAATGCAAGCATGGCCTAAACTTCACAGTTAGGTCTGTGAGGTGTAATGCTGTGGGCAGATAGTATTTGCACTGGTACCTGTGCAGCTGCCTAGAACTTCCCTTTTCTAAAGCTGAATACTGATGCTGGAAGCTGTCTGCTTTCAACTTTGCTCACAAGCGCACTTTGCTGATAAAAGCACAGCCTTTTACCTCCTGAGAACCATAGTGCTGTAATTACAGTTCTGAGGTGATGGAATTCCAGGTGTTGTTTTGCACAGTAGGAAAAGCAGCCATAACAATAATTCAAGTTTTGATCTCCAAATTTTGCTACTCAGGATTTGGATTTTCTTTGTGTAAATGCAATGAAGTAGCAGCTGCAATAGTTAGGTGAAAGGAGCCAAAGGGAGAAGGAAGAGTGAAGGGCAGAGTATTATTCTCAAAGAGAATACTGAACCATTGAATAGTTTTGTCATGTCAAATTTGGATTCTGTTAAAGTGCCATGCATATATCAGATGAAATTCTGTTACAGTGCCATGCATATACTGGACGAAATCCTGGCTCCACAAAGTTGCTTCAATTCTCACTGACCTTACAGGCTGTTGGTCTGTTGTATGGATGGTGTAGGCAGCTGGGCTAAGGATGAATGCAGTGAATGTTCTGCTCCCTGCTGCCTCCTCCTTCTCCACGTAGATTAAAGACCTACAGCTAAGGATTAAAGTTATACCTGTATCTGCTGGTCCCTTCCAGCCCAGTACTTGGTGAGACCAGGATTTTACTTTAGAATTCTCTGATCCCCCCCTTAGCTCCCAAATACGCAACCATGGAGTTGTGACTCTGTATATATGCATGCACTATACTTACTTTTCTGCCTTGGAAATGCAGTATGCGAAGAAAATCGGAATTTTAGAAGTATCTAATATTTTTAGAGCACTAAAGAATGAGCACTACAGTGTTTCCTTCAAGAAACACTGCTACTATTTTTGGAACATTTTGTATCGAAGTATATTTCTGTTTCCCAGTGCAATGCTGCATTTTGTTTTCTACATTTAGACTTAAATGAATTTATTATTCTTCTTTTTGTATGAAGATTATACTTCTCAGTTCTCTTTGCATATTATTGGAAAGATAATTATATCTAATACACAAGATTGCTTGAAAAATAAATTTGAAATCCTCTGTTTTGTTGTCATGTCATCTTTACAGTCTAATGAGATGTACATGAATGGGATTTGGTTTTTCACATAGATGGTTATATTGAAAGGATGTCTACAAGTTTTCTATGTGCATGAAATATGTTGGCATACTTCTTGCTAGACACACAGGAGAAGATTCTTCAAGAACTGTTTAAGCATCCCCATCTGTATAATTATATACATATATACATAGGTATACCTGTATATAGACATCATTTTCAGCTATAATCTTAGTAGATTAATTTTGCTTAGTAAGTTTTGTTCTTGGGCACAAGGACAACTACTAAACTGGAAAGCTACAGAACAGTAGATGTATGATATCTCCCTGTGCCCCAGGAAGGCATGAAAGCGTGGTGTCTCACAGCCTGTCTCAGCCTGAGGGCCTTGCTTAGCTGAATACGTGGCTTCGTTATCACTGCCTGGGCCAAAAGGCTCTTAAGCTCTTTGTTCACATCAGGCTCCAAGGGACAGGTTGTTTGTCATTTTTTCATTTTGGAATTTATGCTAGTGCCAGCTCTTCATGACATGTAAGATCCCAGTTTCTTCCTGAGATGAGGTGCTCGAGCCCCATTACACTCAGGCTACCTTTCTTGCCTCTGTTTCACATTCTGTCAACCTCAGATATTCCTATAGGGGAGAATTATATCCCTTTGAGGGACTGGAGTACAAAAGTGGCACTGCTGGACAAAGGGAGTAAGCTCATAGCACAGTAGCTGTTTAAGGTGGAAAAAAAATGGGCTATAGTTTAAGGAGGAAAAAAATCAATCAAATAATTGATTATGCTGGAAAACTAAGAAGAGGAGGGGAAAAAAAAAGAAATTTAGCTTTGAGTGTCCAGCAGAATTTATCAAGGCAAATCAGATCATCTCAAATACACTCTGTCTAAATTACAGTGTAAGAGTTGTGACTTTCCTGAAAAAAGAAAATGAATTCCATAAACCGAAAGGTTTTATTGCCCACTTGGTTTAGCTCTGGAAGGAAAGAGTGCAATTTGGAAACAGAGGGAGTAGTCATAACGTGGCCAAATGTTCTGAGAGAGATTTGTCTTCCCTCTTGTCCCTTTGAAAGATCCTAATCCAACAAAGCACAAACCTGTGAGAAGTGGATGGTCAGACCTGAGGCTTGCTGCAGGGAAATAGTGAAAACTAAAGACTGTAACCCAAGACACTTGAGACCCAGCTAGTAGTTGTGTCTTTGTTTCTGTTTTTAACCGCAACCACACAATATTGCTCCTCTTCTCCCCAGCCCTGCTTTGCTTATGCTTCAGAACAATTAAGAGAGGAACAAGTTTAACTTTCTTAAACTCATCTTGGAGTAAGTGTTTACCACAGAAAATTTCAACCCATCTGAAATTACTCATTGTCCTAGCACTTAGCAAAAAACTGCCAGGTAAAGCACTGTGATAAACATTGCTAACTAGTTTTGTCAACTGATCTTCGAAGTCCATACTAAGGTCTTTAGCTAATTTGTTGTACTGATAGCAATGAGTTTGTATGACTCCTGTTGATCACTTATTACTGATCATTGTAAGGCTTTTCCACAAGTATTAAATCTCAACATCACAATCACTAAAGAGTTGGTGATGTTTGGTATTAGTAAATTACTTGTTTTCTTTTTTTAATCTTTTTTTTAGCCTCTACTCACCTATGATTTCTTAGGAGAAAGCCCACTAATCAAGTTTTCCTTGTCACACATGACTTGGAGCTTTGTAAAAAAAAAAAAAAATAGATCTTAAACTGATGTTGTTTATTAATATCTTACTTCTTGCAGGAGATACATAACATCTTCTCCACACTTGACCCAGTTTGAAAAGGCAGGCTATGTGTCTTTTGAGTCTGTAGCTTGGATTACAAGAAAAAAAATTAATTAGAATATGGCCTTTGTCTGAGAGACGAACTGACACGCATTTATTAAAATCTGTAATCCATCACAGTTGAAGATTATAGAAGATTTTTTTTTACGATTCTTATTTTTTTCTAGATCAGAACCAATATGTGTGAGTAAAGAGATTATCCTAAGCACTTATGTTTTAAATAACTTGTCAGCATGCTAAGATGATGAATGTGATTACAAACATCTAGAAGAAACCTTGACTGACAGCTGATTCCTTGGATTATAAATTTAAAATGTCTGCAAAACATTTAGGTTGAAAGGAACAGTTATATCAAGATTGGATTTTGGGAAGGAGTCGTCCTTCTTTGCTTTTGGTCCATAGTGGCTTGAAAAACATAGTAGAATTAATTTGCCTAAAATTTACTTTTTATATACAACTGTATGAAACTGTAAATACATTAATAGAAAATAATTTCATGCTCTTTATTTTGATATGTGAGGCAACAAGCCAGTTTTCTTTAAAAGAAAAGACTGAAGAAATAGCACATGATCACTATAGTCCCTCTTGTTGTGTGCTAATGTGCAGAAGTATAGTATCTGCTTAATAAGGTTATGGAATATGATTTGAAAATAGCCATAAAATCACAAATAATTTCTCTCGTACAGGCACCCCTAGAGATTAGGAAATCAAAAATTGTATAATTTTTGAATGAGAAAGCAAATCTGTATAATATCACTGTCCCTGTTAGACCAGATGTGCAAATGGAGTGTGTCAGCCAACCTAAGTGCTTTAAAGAAACTGGTAAAGAACCCTCAGGCCACTTGGAAAAAGAAGATACTCCCTTTCTCAAAGCACAACCATTAAACACCTTTGTCTGCACCAACTTTGTGCCTGAACACTGTGAAGAATGTGTATGTGTAATTCAACAGTCTTACAAAAATGTGTATCATTTGGTACAATGCACCCATTCTGTACATTTTTAACTCTTGTCACCCCCCCCAAACCCCACAAATATTATAAGAAAATAATTCTAGATCCTATTCTTCAAAGGCATTTAACTCAGCTAGGGATACATCACATGTTTGCTTGCACTTAGGAGTCATATATCAGCCCTGTTCTTCCTGAACTTCAGAACTGGCAAATATGCAGGCATGGCAAGGACCACAGGAAAAAAAAAGTTGTAAAATTTTATATTTTGAATAAAGATGTCCTGCCTCAGAAAAGTAGGTTCCCTCTGAGTTATTCCATGAACTAATTATGGCTTTGAACTAAAGAGATGAGTACTGCTATCTGCAGGCACATGGCTAACACCCCCTGACCTGAGGCTGAGCCACCTGCACAGATCCTGAGAAACTGCTGGGCATCAGAGGGGAAGCTGCTGGAGAGGCAAGAGCAAGCAGCTGGCAGGTTTTAAGAAGAATGACATGAAGTCTGGTGGCACCACACAGGTGGTTCATGGGGAGTTATGTGAGGGAAGGCCAAGCTCTGCTGGAGACATTCTGGAAAGAAAAGCTTGAAAGGCCAGAAATACTAGGGAACTGTTGGTAGTACCATGTATGGCTGAGATGATCTAAGTGGCAGCATCTGACATTACACATTTGGATATGGCTGTAAGAAAACTAAGACCCATGAAGGTAATTAGGTAAGAAGGTTGTTTATCTACAAAGAGATAGAGAAGGCTGAAGAAACAGAGGGATCAATGTGGATGGGGAAATAATAAGCATGGGAAAAAGGAGAGAAGAGGGTAAAAGACGTTTGCATGTATGTGTGCTAGTTACTGGGCAGTACTTTGCCCTGTGCCTGACCACTGCCCTCTGTCCTGTTTCCTTCTTAAGTTCTAGTCCTATTCTCTGTGTCATGAATTCTGTTTCTACCATCCTCTGGGTGTGTATGCATGCGTGTCTCCCTGTGTGTGAGCACGTGTGTGTGCATGCATGTGTGTGTGCATGCATGTGTGTGTGCCCTGCATGCTCCCTGGCTGCGCCCACACAGGGACGTTGGGCTGAGACAGGAGAATCGTCCTGCATGCAGCTCTGGGGGGCAGGAAAGGGGGAACCTCTGGGGTCCTGAGACCAATGTATTCAGCCACTCCATAACCTCTGGGACTGCACTGCTGTGGTTATAAAGAGAAGTGGTCAAGTGTAAAAGAGAATTTAAGGACATTAACATTTTACCACAGTTTTACAAAAAAACACCTATCTGTTACATGGACTAGACAACCTCCAGTGGTCCCTTCCAACCTTAACCATCTCCGTGATTCTGTTATACATTGTTTTGTCTACATGATTTTATTTATTTTTTAATAAAATAGGATGAGCATGAAAAAGTCTCTCTTACTGCTAGGTATTCTGTCATTCTGTGCTGTTCTGTCTCCTGGTCTAGCACCTTCATTTCATGTATCAACAGTATGAGGATTTTTTAAAGTTTCTGCTGTTTAGATTTCTCTAAACTTAAATTTATTTTAGCTTTGTTGCAGCTTCACCTATCCTCAATCCTACACTGCTGAGGGGGTCTAGATCTATCTGCTGACGTGCTGAGATCCTTCATACAACCCTACTTTAGGAATCAGTCAACTAAAATCTCCAAGCCCACATCAGGCTCATCTTTTCCTATGCTTAGTTTTCATCTAAGATAGGGTCCATTAGTTTCTGTGGCATTCTACTCCAGAACAGTATCTCTGTTCCCAGTCTTTCTATGTCGCAACTGTATATACCAAAGTGAGAAAATAGTTGCTCTCCATAGCCTGTGTTTGTTTTAAACAAATATGTTATTCTCCTCCAGCCTCCTTGGTGCTGCAACCTTCAGTACAATCACTATCTTTACTGAGTTCAGAAGCTTACAGAAAATAATTGAGTGGCCAACTTGAAACATTTTTTGTTCTTTCAGTGACTACTTGCTCTATTGCTTCCCAGAGTTTGACTGTTGCCTTGCCAAAGGAGGCAGCAAAGAGCTCAGCAGCTGAATGAATGATGTGAAACAGTCAGCACGGAGAAGTCTTGGGAGGGGGCAGCTAAGGCAATCGGGAGGCCTGGGATAGCCCATTAACCTGTGAGTGACCAGACTGGGAGATGAGCAAGGAGAGGCCAAAGAAGGAGCTAATGTGGGCACTGAGGGGACAGGTGGGAGTGGAGCAGAGATTAAATAATATGAAAGTTTTCCATAAGTGTCTCCTGAACTTGCAGATTCCATGGGAAGTGCAACCGCCTGCAGGTCAGTGATAAGTCCTTATTCTTGTAAGTAAAAGCTCTCCTACATGACAGTGAAGACTGTGTGGAAGTATAGTGGACTGTACTGTACATGAAAGACTGCTCGGCACAGACTGTAATATTTATATTTATTTTTTGCAATGCCATAGGTAAAAACAATTTAACAATGCCAAATACAGTGTTATTCTCATAAAAACTTCTCATTTCAAAACAAGTGGTTTCTAGTTCCCACAAAAAGTTAAAATCACATGCAGCTATATGAAGGTAAATTGCTTAAGATGCACAATTATATATCAGAAGACTTTGTTAAAATAAAAACATACTGACTACAACTTTTTAACAAGGCAATTACACAGAACTAGAAAACTGACTCTGTAGTAAAATATAAAAATCTACAATTATAAATATAAATTTGGTCCATGGATCACTACAGAAGTAGCAGTATTTACAGTAAGTATCAGATTACTATTCTAAATGTCTAATAGAAGTCTTAAAATGTTGAATGTTATGTAGAACAGTATTTTATTTACATTCTACTATATTAAAAGTTATATTTCTAGCAAATGTAAATTGTTATAAATACAGCAAATAGATCAAATACTAAACCCATTGCATGTTTGTAATTGAGGATTCCCTAACATCTATAAATATGATAATTTTAAGTTAAAAGTAAAGCCAGATAAATCAAAAAACTAATACTGAAAAAATCATACCACAATTCAATTCTTAGAAACACTGTAAAAGTCAATCAAGTTAGTCCAGACATAACAATGTATTACAAGTAATCTTTCAAGAAAAGGCACACATTGTTAATGATAAGAGTTCCACAGTAAAGTTGTATGTAACAGAAAAGACTGTTGGTTTGAGCAACGGTTGGGCTCTGATTATATATAGAGAGACTGCACAGATTTTCCCCACCCAAAGTATAAAACTGAAAATAATAATGGTAAACTACAGGTGTGACTGGTGTGATGTAGTGATGTGTAAGTTTAATTTGATGTGTTAATTAAACTAAAGATTCTAAACTTTCAGCTGCATTTCCATCGGGTAAAGCTGAGCCATTACTGTCCATAGATGCCGAAGGGTTTTCTTCTTGCCTTGTGCTGACAAGGCTGAGAATAGCTTTGTACAGAAACTGGTACTGTTCCTGGAGAAGAAAAGAGGATACAGTCAAAATTAATTAACAGCTGATGTATCAGTCACACATCTGTGCACATGGAGCACAACTGTGCTCCACAATTTATTATGTTACTTACTTAGCAGCTTTATTGATTTTATGACTAATGATTCCCCCTGTACACGATGTAAAGCACAACATTAGGGAATATAGTACAGGTAGGGGAGAAAGCTGTATTTTTAAAGAAATATTATATGCTGAATCTGATCCTTGTTAAAGTCAGTTACAAATCTGGGGTAAGAATTAGGGCTACTGTTTGCCTGTTGGCTTTTTTTGTAATTTTTTGTCATCTGAATTCTATCCAGGAAGATTTTTTCTTTTCTTTTTTCTTTTTGGTGCTTGCAGTTACTGTTCCTGTTTTTGAAGATCCTGCCAGGAATAAGAGGTAGAAAGACAGACAAGACTGTGAGAAGATTCATCGAGGAGGCCACTGTCCAAGAAGGGGCAGAGGATCTCAGTTGGATGCATGGGAAATGGGGAGTGCCAGAAGCCAGCTGGACTGCAGTGTGGGCCGGGAATGAGGAAACAGTTGGGATGGTCTGTGCAGGGAGAGCAGGCACAGCAAAGGCTGTGCTGGCAGTGGATGCTCTGAAAGGGCAGAGGAATATTTTGGGTATATAAGGATAAAGAATTTCTGTGAGGGAAGAAATGTGGAACAGTAAGACAGACTAAATAGGGTGGGATTTGGGGTCTGAACTATTAGCTTGGGTTAAGAGATATGGGGTAGAAAGAACCACAAATTTGAAAATCTGCAGTAAGAGGATGGGAATCTGGAATCTAAGATAAAGGACCTAGGTATTTGCTCTAGGATCCTGGGGAAAAAGGAGTGAAATGTCCTGATGGTTCTTCTGAGGTGGAAGGAGTTCCACTTTCACTCCATTGTCTGCCAGTCTCCTCACTCTGGGCTACCCAGGCAGGGCAAGGTGTGGACACATTTGTCAATCCTGTGCTATGTTCTGTTTTTGCTGTCAAAAACTGGATAATGCTAACCCAAACATTTTACTCCTAAAGTGTTCTCCTTATTACACTCATTTGTAACTCTAGCAGTCGGGTGTGTAATGATATGACCAAAGAGGTGGGATTCATAATTTTTATTTCTGTGATGAATTTTAATTTGTAGGACACTGCCTTAGCAAGTAATTCTTATGTACTATACTTTATACTTTTCACATTTTTTTCTCCTTCCTGCAGGCACAGTGACAATGGTGTCAAGTGACAATTCAACAGATCATGAAAGATCAAGGTCCATCCTGAAGTGGAAAACTAAGGTAACTACTTTAGGGTCTACCTGGAGCACAAATTTATTCCTGATAAATTAAAACCTTAGTTTACATGACATAATACAGATTTTATGATCATGGCAGCAGCTCTGCACATTTTGAATATCACCACTTGATAACCACAAAATAGGTTTTCACAGGAAATTCTTTGCTTTGGAATAGGCAGCAGGTCCACTACAGCACCTCTGGAAGACAGTTTTGAATAACTCACGCAGAAACTAAGATGTTAGTGGTTCAGTAATGTTGCTCTAAAATCTAGAGCTAATAATGTCACATATAGGGAAAAAATGCACACATTTTGCCTATTACTTACAATGTCTGTAAAGACTCCAGGCCTCATCAAATTTATCATCTTCGCTACATGGTAAACATCCACTGAATTCTCATTTTCCAGTTGATGCATCAGAGTTGTCAATGCACAGAAAGTTCCTGCTGTCACCCCTCCATGCCTTTGTAAAGTAAAACAAAACAAAACAGAAATCTCTAGACACTGAATCAAGTTTTACAGATGGAGAAAATACAAAATCCAGGGTAAACAGATAAGATGAATTTCTGTCATGTGATCTTTGCAATTTCTGAAATAGGTCTGCCCAGCAGTGGCTTAACAAAACTTTCATGGCACCTGGCTACAACTTCTTAAGAGTTACTTTTCTACAATCCCCTTCTAACCAAATCTTGAAGGCCTTGGGTCCTTCAGTATTTCAACATTTCAGTATTTTTTGTCATTATTGAACAGTTGGAGAAAGGTAAGGTGCCTCATCTAAACAGCCTTACTTCTTTTAGTAAGAAAATGAGGTCCTGACTGATTTCCTTTCCAATGTCCTACCTGATAACTATCCAAAGTACGGCAATAATAAAATCAAAATGAAGTATGATACAATAAAAATGTTTCTCTTTTTGATGCAGCTGAAACAGAAGCAGCAGCACTGCTGGTAAGTGCAGACTTCGTGCCTTGTTTCAGCAGCTTTCACTCTAAATGAGGTGAAATGATGGTTCTACAGAAAAACATCAAAACAAACAGAAAGCTGCAGTTCTTACTCATCATGTACAATCATGGGCCCATCACGGTTGGAAGTTTCCTCTTTGATGATGCTGATCAGTTCAAAAGTTTTACTAATCGGACTATCAGGATTTGGCCATTTTGGACACTGAAAATGCCTCACTTCAAGTACATAGTCATCCTAAACGAGAAAAAAAACCCCAAACATAAATCAATTTTGTAAACTATTGTCTTTATTCTTTTCCTTCACCCTGGTCAAGACTGGCTCCAGCCTCCAGATACAGAATCCCACTGCTGTGGAAGTTGGAATACGCTATTCCCTATGTGATCATATTACCTACAGAGGTTACTTCCCCCAGGGGTGTTTCTAGGGCATGGGTTTTTATCACTCATTTACCATAGAAAATGTAACAAAATGTAGGCATTATCTTTAACAAATCAAGTTATATGTTTATGACAGTGTTACCTGTGTAGCTTCTAAAATAAAGTCTTGGATTATGAGTTTCTCCTCGTTAGACAGACACTTGTGTTCTTCAGCAATCATAGTGACTTTGAAACTCTCACAGTTTATAGGCTCATCTTTGTTTGGCCAGTATACAAATTCATCTTCAGCCTCCAGAAAAAAAAAAAAAGGAGACATAAAGATAAGTAATGTTGAGCTCTTAAAATACAAAATCCATCATAATAAATACTGTGTCATATATTATCAATCCAGCCAACTAGATTTAAACCGACAAATCAAAACTTGATCAGGATTACAATCATGGCAAGTGATGGTTTTCAGACATCTCTGTAGTGATCCTGACCAAAGACCACTGTACCCTGTGGATCCACATAGCAGTCAACTTGCTGTGCTACACAGCCTGGCCTTCAGGCTGTCCTGTGCTTTGCAGTGCAGTGCACAGGTCATGGCCACAGGATAAACTTAGCTGGTATATTGTAACACAGGAACCTGCAGGCGGCACTGAGTGGTCTTGGGATTATCTGAAAGTGCAGACCAAAGTTCTCATAAGAGCATCCTTTCTGTTTGACAGCAGAAATGATGAAAAGAGTTGTTTTTTATTTAAGAAAATCCTGTAATAGTTTGAATGACCAAAATGGTCAGATGGATAGGGAAACCTCCCTGCCATGTGTCCTGTCTGCCTGTCAGATGTGTTTCAGGGAGGGCAGAGTAGGATTCCAGTCGAGGTGAATGCAGAGCTCAGAAAGACCACAGTTGTACGCTAGGTTGATACCACTGCTCCCTGGTCAAGCTGGCAGGGCTTCAGTGCCCTTCCTGCACACTCTTCTGCATGAACTGCCACCCCGGGCCCTGTGTGCCCACGCTGCTGGCAGCGGTCCTGGCCACTCATGCTCCCCAGGGGCTTCTTTCATATGTGAGGGAATGCTTGGCCACCATTGCTCCTGGCTCTCATGCCAATCACAATCTGCCCAGATAAGGATCCCTAGATTTCCACTAGATTGTTTGGGGATTTTACACTCAATTCAATATTGCTAATTTTTAATTGTTTGTTTTTTTTTTAAATCCAAGTTGTTTTCTCATGTCTTGCATATTTCAAAATGGTAATACTAGTAAAATTCACGCATAAACCCATAACCATCAGCCACAAAACTCACCATATTCTGGCTATCAGGAAGCATGACTATTAGCTGGGCATTATGGTCCCATATCATTCTCCAGAAATCCTTGATAGTGTGTAGTAAGGGATGCTGGGTAATAATGAATTCATTACTTTGATAATAACCCTGCAAAAAATAAAAATCAAGAGGCTCAGAATTGATGCCCAACTATTAATGCTTAAAGGAAGCTTCTAGTGGACCAGAAGTCTAGAAAATACATTGCACAATTGTGTCGTCTTTGGCTTCCTGCAAATATTAGAAAAAAAAATTTCCATTGCAGTGTTTTCCACATGAAAGGAATAAATTCAATTACACTGAAATAATTTTTAAAACCTAAAAAACAAATATAAAAAAAAGGATAAAAGAGACAGAGGAGACTCGAATGGCCAACTCAGAGGAGCTGACTACCTGAAACAAATATAAGAATACATGAAAGATCTGCAAAAATTCCAAGCAGTTTCTTAATTTGTACAGATGTCTCAAATTAACTTCTTACCACAAAAGAGAGTTCCTTTGCATTAATGCACCTGATGAAGGATCATGTACATATACCACTGCAGAGAGCTTTCCCATCTCTTTCCTGAATGTCCAGGAGGCATTAACTCCTCCCTCTCACCTAATGAAGGGCAAAATGTTGAAGAAAACCCAGAGAACAAAAGCTAATGGAAAGCTGATGAGCTATGGTGTCTTGGGCTATGCTAGTTGCAAAGGCTCTGTAAGATGAGCAAGTAGGAAGGCAAATCACAGTACAGCCATTAAAAACTAACTTGCTGGTTAACACTTTTAGTTTATCTCACAAGATCCTTCCATAGGCGGCATTTAGCTTTACCAGGTTTTAAAACTATGATGGGATTTCTATTTCTACAGATTGTTAAAATGCAATGCACTTAGCCAAACTTAAACCCAGTAATAATGGTAATAGTATTTCCTGGGGGAAGTAACTCTTTCAGGCAGAGTGAATAATGGAAGAAAGGAGCTTTCAAAATCAGGATTGTGCCACCCTAACTCAGACGCATGGCAGCTCTGAAAACAGCTACGCATTATTTTTCACCAATAAAACTGACTTACCATTTTTCACAAAACTGACTTACCATAATATAGGAAGCATTGATGTAGTCTGTCCCTTCACCAGACAGTGATGAGATACCCACTCTAGATCTTTCCACTGTAAAAAAAAGTTATGAATCAGTAAGTATGTTGCAATGACTCTTATAACATTACAGCGATTATTTCACATATCTCACAGTGATGATAACACTAAGCTCCATCAATCTTCATCACTGAAGTGCTATCCAGCCATCTATTTTGTTTTTCTATGTGTAATTCCTAAATCACTTCTTCATTATAAGTACTTTACAGAACATTGTTCCACACAAATGCAAATGTCTTCAGTTCTTGTTGAGGAAATTTTGAAGGTTTGACACACGAGGTTCATAAACATTTTGCCACCCAGAGAAGACAATATGAACAAACTTACCAGGAATGATAGATGAAGTTCGGTTCTTTTCTCTATTACACTGTTTGAGTGCAGTTGAATAATCACACTGCTGTGTGTTAGACTGGCTCAGTAGCTGAAACAATGAAATGTAAAAGAACTAGATAAAAGCTATTCTTTCACAAGTTGCACTAAACAGAAGGGTGCACATATTGCAGGTTCAGTGTCTCTCTTAACTTTAGGTATTGTGATAAATAATTGTGATTCGTGAAACAAATGGGTGATTACATCAAAATAAAACAAGCGGATTGTAAAACTTAATTACACCCCCATAAAGAAATAAAACAGACCCTTACAAGGTCAAGGGGCCCTAAAACCTCCCTACTATCCTAAGAATAAAATATGGTAGAACTTTAAATCTTTTAGGCGCCTGTTCGTCCAAGAATGCATGAATTATGACCAGTTGTAAAGATAACCATTTAGCTTTAGCTGTAAGAAAACCCATATATTACATACTTAGCAAAAAACTGTAAAATGTATATGTATATGATATAATTAATATGCAAGAAGTAGCTAAGATAAATGCCAAATGTACACTGTAGTAGGGGTGCAGATTTGGGAAACCTGTCCTCACTTCTGTCACCCAGCCGGCTGCTTGCTTTTACAATAAAATAAACTCCTATTCAAAAACTTATAGAAACTTGAGACTTTGTTTATCACAGGTATCTAGTTATCTGGCTAAACAACTTAGAAAGTCATCAGAATTTTTTTCTTCACTGTTCTTAGCAGTTCAAATGACTCTTGAATCTTAGATCAATGAAAATGTCTTTGAAGGTGGAGTCTGTCTTTAACCAGTGATGTACACTGAGGGGAATACACTGATTGATCAATATAGCTCATGACATTATTGCTACAATGACATCGTTCCAGACTGTTGTTTTACCTTTAAGATCTTCCTGCAAAGGTACATAGTTAGATCTTCCAAAATCTACTTATTGGCCTATTTTTTTTTTGTAGATCCTTTGTTTAAGAGTAAGCAAATAATTCTTCTGTCACAACTGACTGCATGCATTTGTTAAATTAATCTGAATTTAGGTTCAGCAGCTAATGAAAGTTGTGTTGAGATACCTACTTTTAAGTAATTCAGGCTTGCAAACATAAAGATTTTTGTGTTACTATCTCAGAGAGCTCACCTTGAATTGTTTCTCCAGTCTGGTCTTTCCTGTTGGTCCAGGTATCAAGAGAGCATTAACATAGGCATGAATGTGGGTCTCAAGGACTTCTGTTTCTTTACTGAGTATTGCTTCAACCAATGCATCGTGAATGAAGATGTATTGCTCCTAGGAAAAGGAAACCAAACGTGAGCTCTCATCATTTTCAGATTCCCCTGGTTACCTCTGGTTAAGCTGCCACTTCTGATGTGGTCAGTGTTTCTTCACGGGGGAGCTTTCTCAAATGTTATTCCCTAGAGTGATAACTGTCCCTTTGCAGTGACAGTACACATTTAAAAGCACAACTGACAATTACACTTGCAATATATATGTATACACATATATATATATATCATATAATACAGTACCAAATCCCCACCACCTGTGATATCTCATGTTAACAGAATAGAATTAAAAATGCAAGCATAGCCTTGAGTCAAATTTTCAAGTCAGTCCTACCCCTAGTTTCTAGAGCTATCCTCTGTTTCCTCTCTCACATCCTTTGGAACAGGTGTCCTAGCTGTTGATTACCTTTTATTCTATTGAAAGGCACTGGGGAATCTAACCACCTATTCTTGAAACCTGAAGCAGACTTTGTTGCCCTTATTGTTTTCTCTTGGTCTTTCACTGTTCTATATATAATCTTCAGTTTAAAGGATCTATAGATAATTTTCTGTCTAAAACAGCTTTTGTCCTATGTTTTATTCCCTACTATAAACTGTTTGATGAACACCTGACAATGGTGTTTCCTTAAAAAACTCCATGGCAAAAATGCAAGTCCTGCCAAGAAAGCACTACTTCAAGAAGCATGATTTATATAGACTTCCTTC